TTTTTATTAAATTTGATTAATTAATTAATTAATTTTTGCAGAACTGTGGCTTGAACTCAGGGCCTATACCTTGAGCTACTCTGCCGACCCCCCCAACCATTTTTTTTTGTAATGGAATTTTTAAGATAGGGACTTGCGAACTATTTGCCTGGGCTGGCTTTGAACTTTGATCCTCCTGATCACTGCCTCCTGAGCTAGGATTACAGACGTGAGCCACTGGTGCCTGGCTCAGGCTTTTAAAATTAAAGGTTAAAAACTACAAAAAAAAAAAAATGCAAATATGACATTGCTAACAGGATCATCTTAATCATCTAAACCTTATCCATCCTGTAGAGTTAAAGTCTTTAACATAGAGTATGTAAGATCAATATCATTTAAAATAAACAATAGAAAAAACAAAGAAGGTGGGTAAATTTGTTAATGAAGATAAACACAGCTCCAGTCTTGCAGAGGATGAAAACCAACAGTTAACTCATCTTGTGGCAGAATATAAACTGTTTCAGAATTCTGACTATAGGTCTCTTTCTTCATCAGCAAATTAGCATATCTCTGCTGAAGCTTCTTTTGTCTTTTCTTACACTTTCATCTGGTAACTCTGTTCCTAGATATCTATCTTATAAATAACTTGTGTGCGTAGGAAATGACATATATGGCTTTTTATTATATAGTGCTATTATAGCAAAAAATGAAAAATAACCCAAGGATATAGCAAAAAGGAGACAGAACAGAACAATTATGGTACATCTACCCAATGGAATATTATGCAGCTGTAAAAATGGAGTAAAATCTCTGAACTCAAGTGTCATGCTCTTCAGAATAAACTAAAAGCAGAAAAAAGAACACTACATACAGAAAACAATTTGGTATAAGGAAAGTATATATGTATACACTTTCTGCAGGGGGTGTGGCTCAAGTGGTAGAGTATCTGTCTAGTAAGCAGGATGTCCTGAGTTCAAACCTCAGTAGAACCAAAAAAAAAAAAAGAGAGAGAGAATGAGAGAGGTTTTTTTGCTTTTAAAATAAAATACCTGTTTATTTAAAAACTTAAAGCACAGGTGGAAGTCTCCTGCCTGATGAATTCCTTAATTATTAAATGTTCTAATTGACCTTTGCTTAGAAAGTTTATCAATTTTCAAAAATTAAATAGCATTAATTTTGAAATATTGTCAGAAATGTTTTTTATCTACATAACATATTTACTTTCTTTACCTGTAGAAAGCAATCTTGCTGCAGTCTCTGAAAATGGTTTTATCCACAACTTCATCTTCAACACTAAATAAAGACATTTAAAGGAACATATTTTACACCAGGTTTGTGAACTCAGGGCTTGTAGACCCAGTTTTTGTATCATCACTATAGTACATACATGCAAAATAAACCTTTGGAGTGCATTCTACAATGCAAAACAGTGCCACTGCCACAACACGATAACGGCATGTAACAATAGCACACATACTGCAGTACAATATTGTTGGGCAAAATGTCCACGTTAAACAAGAAGATATTAAGTTCTCAGGCTGCTCAGAAAGCAATGTCACTTACAAGGGAGGTTTCTTTTAAAATAATGGCTGCAACAATAAAATCTGAAAGAGCAAACAACAACAACAAAAACAAACTCAAACCAAACAACCCACTCACCCACTTAATCAACAGACTATATTCTTACTGGACGTTGTGCTCAGATCAAGACATGAAATCAGGCATGGCTATAATCCCAGCACTGAGGAAGGCTAAGAGTATCTCAAGTTCAAGGCCAGCCTGGGCTACATAATGACTTCCAGGCCAGCCTGGACTAGAGTGAAACTGTGTCTCAAAGAACAAACAAAAGATAAGAAAGAGTGTCCAAGCTTGTAAATACTCTAGGAGAGGTAAGAGCAAAGAGCTAGAATAAGAAGTAAACACAGAAGGGAAATGTTTTGCTTTCTAAGACTGCTGACAGTCTAAAGGTCAATGTTCTTTAAAACAAAGTTTCCAGAAGAATGGTTTCTAGAACAAAACACAAACAAGATATGCATTGCTACTTGAGTATATGTATATAAATTAGCCTTCATCAGTTAAAACAACTATAGGCTAGAAGTTGTAAAAACCATGCTAGCTTCCACACAGAGATGTGGCTGAATATATCTGCAGTCAGCATGTCCATGGTTTTGTAGGAAGCTATGATTGTACACAAATTTCAAAATATGAAAACAGTTCCACACAGATAGATACACTTAGCCATACTAAAAACTGTTTATCATGGAACTAATTAAGTCCTTCACTCAACTCAGGTTTTGTCAATGTTTCTTTTAAATCAAGTGTGCAAAGATTAGAAGACCTTTCAGTGTCTTCTTTCCAGCATTGAAGAATGAGCTCTGGAATGACACAGAAAGAGGTGGGTACACCTGAACTTCTAGAGCAACATGCTTATTGTTCATTTGTCAGAGTTCAGAGGGCCATTTTCCTCTGTTAAGAGTTACTTAACTATCCTGTAAGTATTTTATGAGGGGCTAGCTACTAACATTACCTAACTCCCTGCAGAACTGAGAAAAAATGGTAAAGCATACCAATGTCAAACACTCAAATAAATGGTGTGATCAAAATATATATATATAGATATAGATATCTATATCTATAGATATCTATATCTATATCTATATCTATATATATCAGTGAAACCTTCAAGGCCAGAAGGTTGCTTTCAGAGTACTTCATTGGATTGTCCTGGGCAGTCCCGTGAGAGCACTTGGCCTTTACCTGATTTCCTCTGTCTCAGCTGCTTCCCATGGCGTGCTTCCAGTCCCGTTCTCAGGCGCCACAGCCTCGGACGTGATCTTTGTAAAAAGCCTAGGAGCAGTCTGTCTAAATTATGGCCAGTACTCCTCCACTGTCAAGTTCCTGGGAAACGGAGTCGTCTCCAAAACCTTAGCTTTTGCTCCTGTGATTTTTCAGGCGCAATCTAACCGTTTGCACGGGGAGCTATTTGGCAAACTTCTCTTGATCATGGGCGGCCGATGAGGACCGCGCTCTTTAGGAAGCCAAACAGTCTTTGCAGAAGAGGCGTGGATGCGGGAGCCCTAGAGGATAAAAGTCGAGAGCGTGAGAACCAGGAAGCGCCGGACTGCCTCCCTGATTGGTGCCAGGCTGCTGCAGGACTTTGTCAGTGGCAGTCCCGCCGCAGGCTGTCACTGACAACTGGCCAACGCTCTCCCCGTTTTTAGTTTTGAGTGGGAAGTGCAGGCTGAGTCACTGCTGAAGGCTGATGTCTCCAAACGCTCTTGCAGCATCCTACTTTGCAAGGTTAGAAGGTGTCTTTTAAGATTATCTATTACAGTCTAGGAATCGCTACTTAAAACACAGCTTCCAAACCGGAGAACTCAGTAAGTACTGGACGCCAATCAGGCAGCCAGAATTACCGCTGCTCCTGACTTCTGACCGGGGCGTCCGACTTTGACTTAGAACGAAAGAGGGACAGGGGCAAGCTAGAGAAACGAAAAGCCGAATGTTACTCCAGGTGCTTGCCTGATCCCCAAATCCTTTAAGGACTGGAAGACAGAAGGGAAGCGCGAAACCAGAGACCCTTCCGCAGAACGTCCACAACCCTGTGCACCAAGTTGCCACAGAAGGACGCTTGCTCTGTTGGCCCAAAGTCTCACCGAGTGCAGACAGTCGGAGAGCCACGCCTCTCCTCCGCAATACAAACAGGCCACGCCCCCTGAGGACTCGAGGACCCGGATGATCCCGCCCACAGAGCAGAGCCGGAAGAGGGCGGGACGAACCGGAAGGGGGTGAAATGCTTTCCGTAGGTACTCCAGGGCTGTGAAGATGGCGGCGGCTGCGTGGCTTCAGGTGTTGCCTGTCATTCTTCTTCTTCTGGGGGCTCAGCCGTTTCCATTGTTGCTTTTTGGTACAGGGCCGGCATCCGTGTCTGCTGCCGACCGATCCAAGTGGACCATTCCCATGCCGTCGGTGAGTGTTACAGTAGCTACTGAACCTGGAGGAGCGAGAGGTGGGGCTACGGCGGCCCAAGGGGTCCATGAAGGTTCCGCAAAAGTCAGCTTCCAAAGGGGGTGGGATTCCGTCGGTTGGCCGCAGGGACCACCTCCCCTAGGGCGAAAGCCGCGTATTTGGCGGCTAGGCAAGGAGGAGTGGCAGGGCCACTTGAGCAGTGGGTAGGAGAAGACAGAGCGGCTTCTCTCCGGGAAGGTGACAACTTTCAGTGCCTGACTTGAAAGGTATTTAAACGGTGCACAGATGGAGCGGCTAAGCTTCCAGCTGAAGTTTCACAGACTCCGCTCATCCCGGGTTGCTTGAGAGGGATCTGAAAATTGGCGTCATTTCTCTCTTTTTTCCTCTGCAGCTTTTTGTTTCTGGGCATTTTTTTCTGGAGGTGGTTTGATTTCATTTAAACTTTGAAATGGGTATTCTAAGATTGTGTGTTTAGGAGGCTTTAGAGATTTTTTTTAAAATGTGTTTTAACACGGGAATGGCTAAAATAAAAGAAATAGTTGTAAAATTTAGTGTGGTAAGGCTTGTCTTTCATTTGGACAGTTAACCTATTCTTTCCTCTCCCACTTTTGAAGAAATAAGAAGTATATTCCTGTGAGTGACAAAAATTAGATGCAGGCAAGAACTGCTAAAGAAAGAAAAAGCATTAGTCCTATTAAAGTCCCACTTTTAACTTTTTGTTTTATTCTGTTCTGCTTACAGGTTGCAAATTTATATGGCAGGCATTATGCTTTTATTCATCTAGTGAATTCATTCAGGTTCTCAATTTCAGGTTTTCACTTGTTACTAAATGTGATTAATAAAGTCCTTTTAGATTTGGAAATAAACCTCTGTCTGCTCCTGGAATAGTTATTTAAAAACACAGCTGGTTATTCTGACTAGTGATCAGTGAGTAAAGGAAATGAACTGATTAATGGGTACATCCCATGAAGGCTTGACATTTCTACCAGCCTCCTTCTACACTCCCTGTTTTATGACCTGTGGGGATGTGGAAATGTGGGGAAGTCATGTCTGCACTAGTTTGGATGTGATTGAATTTCACTAAAAGGAGAGATGCTGATGTCTTTTTGATTAAGAAGATTAATTTGAATACTTTATAAATTTAGGTGGCTATATTCTGTCTTGGAAATTAAAGTGATTTGATGCTATTTATCTTTATCTCTGCAGGGGAAAAATTATTTTAGTTTTGGAAAGATCCTTTTCAGAAATACCACTATCTTCCTCAAATGTGAGTTTTTGAATTTCATGAGTTTTTTTTTTTACAGTTAAGGGTAAACTTTTAAATTACCTGTTTTCTACCTCAGATAGTCTACTTGCATTGAGATCAAAAATTTAATAGTCTGGCACTACCTATAAATAAATATTATATAAGAGGTTCTTTCAATGAATTTACCAGTATCAGAATATTTACTGTGGTGAACTTTATTTTCTTCTCTGATTTTACATGTATTAACACACTTACCATTTATGATGTATTTTATGTAACCATATATGTTATAGATACGGTATTGAATATATGATACTATATAGTGGATGTATATGCGTACTATATATAAAATGTATATTCAGTCACATCTCCGTTGAATTGTATGTGTGATTTTTTTTTTTTAATCTGTTCACTGGTTTTACTCTGTATGCATTGTTAAGTGGGGTGTGTTTACTGAGAATAAGACCTAGGTTTTGTCATTGCTCAGAACAAACATATTCAACAGACCTTTTATTTATCAAGGGAGTAGTTACCAGATGCAGGAAATAGGGATTATGTAGAACAAAACCGGTTTGTCTAGTGGGACAGCTCCTGTATCAGAATCTAAATTATCCCATTGTGTACTAAAGAAAAGCTTCCTTTTAGTTGTGAAACTGGCTTTATTCTAGGCAAGAAGTGGTCATGGCAAGCTCTATTTCAAGATGAGAGATAATCAGATCATTTCATCTCTCTCCATGAAAGTGCAGAGTTATAAGTCACAGTTGGATGCTTTTGTTCTTTTAATTATTTGCTAAGTAGTTATTACTTACTGTGTGCTAGGTACTCTTTTAAGACAACAGGAAAAGGGAGCTTCCTTCACTGAGCTCACATTCCAGTAAGGGTGAAAGGAGCAGGTGGAATTTCTGTGAAGAATATACTACATCCATGAAAATACCTCCAGAGTAGTCACTTATATATGATTTAAGTCAAATCTATTGACACTCTGGCCTTGCTTGGTTTACTAGTAGCTGTTAGGGGTAGAAGGATTTTGTCTCTTGAATAGCTTGAAAGCATATGCTGTTCTTTTATTATGTACATTTTTTTCTAATCTGTGTTTTGATCTAATAGTATTTCCCCAGGTTAAATAAGCTGTGTATTTTAAAGTATCTACATTTCATTGTTTTGGAGAATTTGAGGATCCTTAAATTTTCCTTTAGCTTTTTCTTGGATACTTCTGTTCTTCCATATTTACCAGCTGTCTCTAATTTTATACTTTTGTGGTTGTAGTTTGTAGCTTCAATGGCCTAGGCAAGACTGTCTTCCTCTCAGAGTTCTAAGCTTTGTCTAAGTTAGTTGTCTTTTAGCATTGACTGATAGTTTTGTAGCTAAATTCCCTTGCAAATCTGTTTAGGCAATGTTTTCTGAATTTTAATTAATGAATCTATCTCTCTATGTGTACTTCTGAATAGTATCCTTTATATGATTTCCATAAATTCTACTCAACAGGTTAGTTTTACATATTCTAACACACTGCTGTGAAAATGTGCAAGTCATTTAAAAATTAGTTTGAGAAAACAGTTTAAAACAAAAGAGGGCTAGGTGTAATGGTGCATGCCAGTAATTCCAGCTTACTTGGGAGAAATATGTCTAAAGATTATGGGCAAAAATGAGAGACCCTATTCGAAAAATAAAGCAAAAAGGACTGGGGCATAGCTGAAATGGTAGTGCCCTGTTCCTGTCTAACAAGTGCAAGGCCCTGTTTTGAGCCTCCAGTACTGCCTAAATAAACAAATAAGAAAAGAATTAGAAAGCAAGCTAGGTGCCTGTGGTTTACTCCTGTAGTCTGTTTTCTTGGGAGGCAGAGATCGAGGGGCTCGCTCTTTGAGGCCAGCCTGGACAAATACTTTGTGAGACTCCATCTCCAAAAATAACCAGAGCAAAATGGACTGGAGATGTGGCTCAAGCTCACAAAGTGCCTGCTTTTTGAGCCCTTGTCCCACCAAAAAAAAAAAGAACTTATAATTAAGTGGCTGCTTTTGTTATGAACCAAAAGTGAATTCCTAAATCAGTCATGTTTATTTTTGTCACGTTTGGATAAAGTAGGGAGTCTTTAGTTACATTGTCCTTCCCACAGCTAGAATGAGATAAAAGGAAATTCTGATACCGCTGAGATAGCTAATCTGTAATATAGTCAAGTTTATGCTCTCAGGCTAATACCTTGGTCTATTAGAATATTATGTTCCAAACTATGTTTAATAAGTTCTGTGAAGTTTCCATAATTTCAGTGAGGCCTCTCTGTTTTTTTTTCACTCGGCCTCGTGCTTGTTAGGCCAGGTGCTTTACCACTTGAGCCACTCTGCCAGCTTGAGGCCTCTCTTAAGATGAGCTTTGAAAAACAAAAATCTAGTACTCTTTATCTTTGTTTTTGCTATATTTGTCTTCTCCAGCCATGCTCATCTTTTGTTCATTGCTCTTTGTATCCAGTGTTGATGTCTTTTAAGGTCTAAGCCATGAATTTTTCCGAGTAGAGCTATTATTTATGTCACCATTTAACAATCGTGACTATTGCCTTGGGGACATCCTATGTTATTAATGGTCTCTCCAACTAGGACTGATAGCCTTTTAAGAGCTTAAATAATGGTTCCTATCATTCCTCTCTTTGACCTAACACAGCTATTGTATCTTCGCGTACTTGTGCTCTGCTCAGTAAGTATTTGAATAATAGAACTCTGGTTTTAACTTAGAACTGCTTTATCACTCCTAGGTTTTTCTCTTTGAGAAATTGAGGTTTTAAGGCATAGAATTAAACCTACAGGTTCAAAAGGATAAAATCATAGCTAAATTACTGTTCCTTTGGATGACCGATACACTTATCTGAAGAATATTGTTCTTTTCGCATGTTTTATGCCATTTCCTTACGTTTGGAGAAGGAATGTTCTTTGAGTATCTCAGCTTAGTGCAGCAAATAAACAAGGTATTGACTAAAAGGGAAATACTTTTTAAGGGGAAAAAACTGGTTTTCATTCCGGGAATCATCTTTTATTCAGTGATTTCTTCTTTTACAGTTGATGGAGAACCTTGTGAGCTGTCTTTGAATATAACATGGTTTCTCAAAAGTGCTGATTGTTACAATGAAATCTACAACTTCAAGGTAAGGAACATAAAATTATAGACTTTTCTTGGGCTGTCAAAGCCATATAGTCCCAACATCTTCATTTAATAGAGGAAAGAATAGCATATAGTTGTGAAGGAGCAGAGCTGAACTACAGTCCATGCTTCCCAGTTTGCAGACCTGCTGTATCAGCTATTCTCAATTTTTTTGGTCTCAGAACTCTTACATTCTTAAAAAATTACTGTAGACTCCAAAAGCCTTTGTTCATGTGTTTCTCTTTTAGAAATTAAAGCTGAGAAGATATTAAAATATAATTTTATTTGCAGTACTGGGGTTTGAACTCAGGCCTCATGTTGCTAGGTAGGGCTCTCTACTACTTTGAGCTCTGCCCCCAGCCCTTTTTTACTTTTGTAAACATCTCTTATTTAAATTGTAATCATAAACAGGATTACAAGTAGAATTCTTACATCTCATTCTTAGCTCAGTAATTGACAATATTAGGTGAAGTGTATGTTGAAAACGGTAACCTTAATAAGAAAAGGAAATGGTTATTTTAGTGAACTCTTATTGGATAATGCAGATGTCCTTTGTTCTATATTGTTTCTATTATCAAAAACTCAATTAACCTGCGAGTTTCTTTTCTTTTTTTTTTCATTTTCTTTTATTATTCATATGTGCATACAAGGCTTGGTTCATTTCTCCCCCTCCCCACCCCCTCCCTTACCACCCACGCCACCTCCCCCCCCCCCTCAATACCCAGCAGAAACTATTTTGCCCTTATCTCTAATTTTGTTGTAGAGAGAGTATAAGCAATAATAGGAAGGAACAAGGGTTTTTGCTGGTTGAGATAAGGATAGCTATACAGGGCATTGACTCACATTGATTTCCTGTGCGTGGGTGTTACCTTCTAGGTTAATTCTTTTTGATCTAACCTTTTCTCTAGTTCCTGGTCCCCTTTTCCTATTGGCCTCAGTTGCTTTAAGGTATCTGCTTTAGTTTCTCTGCTTAAGGGCAACAAATGCTAGCTAGTTTTTTAGGTGTCTTACCTATCCTCACCCCTCCCTTGTGTGCTCTCGCTTTTATCATGTGCTCATAGTCCAATCCCTTGTTGTGTTTGCCCTTGATCTAATGTCCACATATGAGGGAGAACATACGATTTTTGGTCTTTTGGGCCAGGCTAACCTCACTCAGAATGATGTTCTCCAATTCCATCCATTTACCAGCGAATGATAACATTTCGTTCTTCTTCATGGCTGCATAAAATTCCATTGTGTATAGATACCACATTTTCTTAATCCATTCGTCAGTGGGGCATCTTGGCTGTTTCCATAACTTGGCTATTGTGAATAGTGCGCAATAAACATGGTGCAGGTGCCTCTGGAGTAACAGTCTTTTGGGTATATCCCCAAGAGTGGTATTGCTGGATCAAATGGTAGATCGATGTCAGCTTTTTAAGTAGCCTCCAAATTTTTTTCCAGAGTGGTTGTACTAGTACATTCCCACCAACAGTGTAAGAGGGTTCCTTTTTCCCCGCATCCTCGCCAACACCTGTTGGTGGTGTTGCTGATGATGGCTATTCTAACAGGGGTGAGGTGGAATCTTAGGTGGTTTTAATTTGCATTTCCTTTATTGCTAGAGATGGTGAGCATTTTTTCATGTTTTTTTGGCCATTTGAATTTCTTCTTTTGAGAAAGTTCTGTTTAGTTCACTTGCCCATTTCTTTATTGGTTCATTAGTTTTGGGAGAATTTAGTTTTTTAAGTTCCCTGTATATTCTGGTTATCAGTCCTTTGTCTGATGTATAGTTGGCAAATATTTTCTCCCACTCTGTGGGTGTTCTCTTCAGTTTAGAGACCATTTCTTTTGATGAACAGAAGCTTTTTAGTTTTATGAGGTCCCATTTATCTATGCTATCTCTTAGTTGCTGTGCTGCTGGGGTTTCATTGAGAAAGTTCTTACCTATACCTACTAACTCCAGAGTATTTCCTACTCTTTCTGTATCAACTTAAGAGTTTGGGTCTGATATTAAGATCCTTGATCCATTTTGAGTTAATCTTGGTATAGGGTGATATACATGGATCTAGTTTCAGTTTTTTGCAGACTGCTAACCAGTTTTCCCAGCAGTTTTTGTTGAAGAGGCTGCTATTTCTCCATCGTATATTTTTAGCTCCTTTGTCAAAGATAAGTTGTTATAGTTGTGTGGCTTCATATCTGGTCCTCTATTCTGTTCCACTGGTCTTCATGTCTGTTTTTGTGCCAGTACCATGCTGTTTTTATTGTTATTGCTTTGTAATATAGTTTGAAGTCAGGTATTGTGATACCTCCTGCATTGTCTTTTGACTGAGTATTGCCTTGGCTATTCGTGGCCTCTTGTGTTTCCATATAAATTTAACAGTAGATTTTTCAATCTCTTTAATGAATGTCATTGGAATTTTGATGGGAATTGCATTAAACATGTAGATTACTTTTGGGAGTATCGACATTTTTACTATGTTGATTCTACCAATCCATGAGCATGGGAGATCTCTCCACTTTCTATAGTCTTCCTCAATCTCTTTCTTCAGAAGTATAGTTTTCCTTGTAGAGGTCTTTCACATCTTTTGTTAGGTTTACACCTAGGTATTTGATTTTTTTTGAGGCTATTGTAAATGGAATTGTTTTCATACATTCTTTTTCAGTTTGCTCATTGTTAGTGTATAGAAATGCTAATGATTTTTCTATGTTGATTTTATATCCTGCTACCTTGCTATAGCTATTGATGATGTCTAGAAGCTTCTGAGTAGAGTTTTTTGGGTCTTTAAGGTATAGGATCATGTCGTCTGCAAATAGGGATATTTTGACAGTTTCTTTACCTATTTGTATTCCTTTTATTCCTTCTTCTTGCCTAATTGCTCTGGCTAGGAATTCCAGTACTATGTTGAATAGGAGTGGAGATAGTGGGCATCCTTGTCTGGTTCCTGATTTTAGGGAATGGTTTTCAGTTTTTCTCCGTTAAGTATAATGCTGGCTGTAGGTTTGTCATATATAGCTTTTATAATGTTGAGGAACTTTCCTTCTATTCCTAGTTTTCTTAGAGCTTTTATCATGAAATGATGTTGGATCTTATCAAAGGCTTTTTCTGCATCTATTGAGATGATCAAGTGGTTTTTGTCTTTGCTTCTGTTAATGTGGTTTATTACGTTTATTGATTTTCGTATGTTGAACCACCCCTGCATCCCTGGGATGAAGCCTACTTGGTCGTGGTGAATAATCTTTTTGATGTTGTTGAATTCGTTTGCCATTATTTTGTTGAGGATTTTTGCATCAATGTTCATTAAGAGATTGGCCTATAGTTCTCCTTTTTGGAGTGTCTTTGCCTGGTTTTGGGATAAGTGTAATACTGGCTTCAATAAAATGTTGTTGCAGTTTTCCTTCCTTTCTATTTCGTGGAACAGTTTTAAGGAGTGTTGGTAAGGGATTGGGACTATGAGCAACATGATAAAAGCGAGAGCACACAAGGAGAGGGTGAGGATAGGTAAGACACCTAAAAAACTAGCTTAGCATGTTGCCCTTAATGCAGAGAACTAAAGCAGATACCTTAAAGCAAACTGAGGCCAATAGGAAAGGGGACAGGAACTAGAGAAAGGTAGATCAAAAAGAATTAACCTAGAAGGTAACACCCACGCACAGGAAATCAATGTGAGTCAATTGCCCTGTATAGCTATCCTTATCTCAACCAGCAAAAACCCCTTGTTCCTTCCTATTATTGCTTATACTCTCTCTACAACAAAAATTAGAGATAAGGGCAAAATAGTTTCTGCTGGGTTGAGGGGGGGAGCGGGAGGGGGTGGAAGGTGGTGGTAAGGGAGGGGGGGGGCAGGGGAGAAATGAACCAAGCCTTGTATGCACATATGAATAATAAAAGAAAAATGAAAAAAAAGAGTTTTGGTATCAGTTCTTCTTTAAAGGTCTGATAGAATTCAGCAGAGAATCCATCAGGTCCTGGACTTTTCTTTTTGGGAGACTCTTGATTGCTGCTTCAATTTCATTTGTGTTATAGGTCTATTCAGGTGATTAATTTCCTCTTTGGTTCAGTTTTGGATGATCATATGTATCTAGAAATCTGTCCATTTCTTTAAGATTTTCAAATTTATTTGAATATAGGTTCTCAAAGTAGTCTCTGATGATTTCCTGGACTTCCATGGGTTTGTTGTTATCTCCCCTTTTGCATTCCTGATTCTACTAATTTGGTTTTTTCTCTCCTCATTTTAGTCAGGTTTGCCAGGGGTCTATCGATCTTGTTTATTTTTTCAAAGAACCAACTTTTTGTTTCATTAATTCTTTGTATGGTTTTTTTGGTTTCTATTTCGTTGATTTCAGCTCTTTTTTATTATTTTCTCCTTCTATTTGTTTTGGGATTTGCTTGTTCTTGTTTTTTCTAGGAGTTTGAGATGTATCATTAGGTCATTGATTTGGGATCTTTCAATCTTTTTTAATATATGCACTCATGGCTATAAACTTTCCTCTCAAGACTGCCTTAGCTGTGTCCCATAGGTTCCGGTAGGTTGTGTTTTCATTTTCATTGACTTCCAGGAACTTTTTAATTTCCTCTTTTATTGCATCGATGATCCATTCTTCATTAAGTAATGAGTTATTTAGTTCCAGCTGTTTGCATGTTTTTTGTCTTTACTTTTGTTGTTGAGTTCTACTTTTACTGCATTGTGGTCAGATAGTATGCATGGTATTATTTCTATTTTCTTATATTTGCTGAGGCTTGCTTTGTGCCTAGGATATGATCTATTTTGAGAAGGTTCCATGGGCTGCTGAGAAGAATGTATATTGTGTAGAGGTTGGATGAAATGTTCTGTAGACATCAACTAGGTCCACTTGATCTATTGATATTTTAGATCTGGATTTCTTTATTGAGTTTTTGTTGGATGACCTATCTATTGATGATAATGGAGTGTTAAAGTCTCCCACAACCACTGTTTGGGTTAATATATGCTTTTAGTCTTTCAGGTATGTTTGATGAAATTGGGTGCGTTGACATTGGGGCATACAGATTGATGATATTATTTCCTTTTGGTCTATTTCCCCTTTTATTAGTATGGAATGTCCTTCTTTATCTCGTTTGATCAATGTAGGTTTGAAGTCTACTTTGTCAGAGATAAGTATTGCTACTCCTGCCTGTTTGTCGGGGCCATTGGCTTGGTAAATCTTCTTCCAGCCTTTCATCCTAAGCATATGCTTATTTCTGTCAGTTGAGATGAGTTCATCCTGGTCCGCGTCTTCCCATTTGCCGTAGATGGCGCCGCCACTGGCGCCCGGGGGCCCTCTCTTTCTCCGTTTTAACGTGTAAGTGAGATTCTCCTGCCACGGACTGGAGGATTGGAAGGGTCAAAGTAGCCTTTTCTCGAGTGATATGCCTGCAAAAGAATGTGTCTCCAGCGTCTCTCCAAGATTTCACTATAGGAGGGTCGCTTTCTGCTTCCTACCTCTAGCCGCCATCTTGGAATCCATTGGAGTTTCTTAAAGTTAGTTGGAATGTGGAATGTGAAACCATATTAATGAACTTTTTTGTATTATGTAATGTAAAATCCACTGAAGTGTCCTATACTTTGAATAGATCTTTTACTCATGTATGATTTTGTAACATTATTCATTGCTCATTTAGAAAATACTGGTTGACATATAAGTCTTTGAAATATTAACTTATTTTATATTTAATTCTAAATTGTATTGTTAATAACCCCTACCGTCTTCTTCCCACCCCCCCATCTCATCCATTGTTCCTTAAGTATCAGAAGCCATTAGCTCATATTAGCAGACAGACGTTCTCTAAAATTCCAGTTTTTGCTCAAATTTTATCATTGGCAGTAGTACCATCAGTTGTATTTCTTAAAATTATAGTCCATTTTCAGAAGAATGTCTCCTAAATCAAACCTGAATAACTGTCTGAGGCCGGTCATTTTTTTTAAGTAAAAAAATAATTGTAGTCATTCATTCTTTCAAGTTAAAAAAAAAATATTGAACTTAGTTCTCAAGCCAAAACAGTTGTAGAGTGCTTTATCTCAATGATCATTTATTATATTTTGCATATTTCTCATTGTGTTACTTACATAATTAAAACAGGCCTTTTTTTTTTTTTAACAAATCCAGATTTTAATAACAATTTTTTTTTTCTTTGTGATTCTGGGGCTTGAACTCAGAGCCTCATACTTGCTAGGCAGGTGCTCTACCACTTGAGCCACTCCAGCAGTGCAGTAACAGTCATTTTTAATGCTTCATCAAGGACATTCTGGCATAAAATTAGCATTTTTAAAACTGTGTGTTATTGACTGAAGAAAGAATATAATTATTTCAAGCCCCCTGCTTTGCTTCCTCATTAGGGGCATCAGTTTTACATGCCGTTGTTTTTTATGATCAGTGCAAGGCAAAGAATTTTTTTGATCATTTGAACCTTGTGAAAGAGGTTATAGATCACCATTGTCTAGAGAATGACTGTGGTAGATGATACTTCAGCATTAAAGATGTATTATTCTGAGGTGGATTTCCATCCAGCCCTTTGCAGTTTGCAGCCTTTTCTTTTTTTCCTTCTCTTGAAACTTCTATACAAAGATAGTCTGATGTCTTAAAAACTGCCTTCTGTCCAATTAGTCTTTTTAGAATGACAGTATTTTAAGTCTCTCCTTCGTGTTAAAGTTTTACATGAGCTTTTTTTGTTGGTGATTGTTTTTTGCTTTTGTTATATAACATTGAATAGGATTGTATGACCGGAAGGAATGAAAGGACCTGAGGAATTTAGAAAGAAATGATAACTTGTCTAGAATATGGTTTGAAATATCATTGACCTTTTTCTTTTAATTGATCACTAATTGTATTTATAGTAAAAGGTTCATGCATTTAAAACTTGCTTTGCACTTGTCAAGAACTTAGATCCTGCCTTTGTAGGAAATGCGGATGATAATTACTTTGAATTGCTATGGGATAGAAGTATGGAAATGATAAGCAAAAGGTTGGAGAGGATGTGATAGAGCCTTTTCTAATGAGGGCAAGGTCAGAGATGTGATGATGGGAGAAAATTCACAGAACTCACAAATGATGAATGATTTTTTTTTTTTTTTTTTTTGAGTATCAGCTGTAGGCCAGGAATGGCTGCAACAGTTTTTAGTCTTTCTTAGCTTATGAACTCAAGTATACTCTGACGATGGTTTCCTGGTCTACCCAGAATTGTTGGAGAGCTACCCTCTGTGAGCTGAAGACTAGAATTCTGCACTATAGAGTTTACTAACTTCACATTCTTTTTTTTTATGGTACTGGGGTTTGGACTGCACTCTTGCTAGGCAGGCATTCTTCTACTTGAACCACTTCATCAGTCCTTTTTTTGTGTTGAGTGTTTTCGAGATAGGGTCTCTCGAACTATTTGCTCTGGCTGGCTTTGAACCATGATCTTCCTGGTTTCTGCCTCCTGAGTAGCTAAAATATATTATAGATGTGAGCCACTGGCACCTGCCTGCTTTAGAGGTTCTTATTTATATACTGCTATATAGTCTTTGATGCTGTTAATTCTCAAAACAGTAAACTCTTAAGTTGTATTTGTACTGTAGGTTATCTGCTACCTTCTAAAAATCTATTTGTGAAGAATAAGTTAAATACTTTGTATCTCTTTTTTTCCCAGGCGGAAGAAGTAGAGACATATTTGGAAAAACTTAAGAAAAAAGAGGCCTGTCTGGGAAAATACCAAAACATCATCAGAAATTTTCAAGAAACTCATGTGACCTCCTTCAAAGCCACAATAATCTTTGGAAAGTGTTGTAGAGGAAATAGAAAGAGGCTAAAAAATATAATACTGGTTTTTTTCCTGTCTCTGTTTTCCATCTGCCAGATACTTCTTCTAGAAGAAATAAGTTGGAAGCTTCTTCTAATAGGCACATTGTCAGCCACTTACATATTTATCTCATTTAAAAAAAGGATGGCGAGCCAGTGTCAAGTCGTGTAACCCAGACAATATTTGGAGGCTGAGAGTTGGGAGGAACATGTGGGTTCGAGGTCAGCCTTTTGCAAAGGTTTATGAGACCCCCCCATCTCAACCAATGAAAGCTGGGTGTGGTGGCGGGTACTTGTCATCCCAGCTACATGGGAAGTGTAACTAGGAGAATAATGGTCCAGACTGGGGCAAAAACACGTGACCCTATCTCAAAAATAACCAAAGCCAAAAGGAGTAGGGGCGTGGCTCAAGTGGTAGTCTTGCCTAGCAAATCGATGCCCTGGGTTCATACACCAGTTATCCCCTCCCAACCCTCACACCCCCCCCCAAAAAAAAGGGAGAGAGAGAGGATGCACTTTTCCTTTGTGTGTGAAAAGCAAAACCCCAGTTCTTTTAATTGTTGTGAATTATGTGTTACCATTTTAACTGTATCTAAGTTTACAAATTCACTTTGCTGCACAGCTATATCACTAAGCTCTACCTAGTAAACAGTCATGCCCAGCCCCTAGTAACCACTATTTTGCTTTCTTTACGAATTTGAGTATAGTCAGACAGTTTTTATTCTTTTTTGTCTGCATTCTTTCATTTCAAGGTCATCCATGTTGTAGCATGTATCAGAATTTCATTTCCCCTTTAAAGCTGAATTATATTTCATTATATTCATATATTACATTAATTTATTACTTTACTATTTTTGTGTGGCACGCGTTTGAAACTCAGAGCTCATGCTTGCTAGGCAAGTGGCTCTACCGACTTGAGCCCACTTCACAACCCATACATTTATCTATCCATCTGTTGATGGCAGTTTTTTTTAAATATCTGGCCTTACACTTCCTAGGCAGTGGTCTACGGCTTACCATGCCCCTTAGCCCTTTTATTTCAGTTATTTTTTTTAATATATACTTTCATTTTTGCCTGGGCTGACCTCTGACCAAGATTTTCCTATTTATACTGTCACTAGCTGGAATTACAAATGTGTACCACCATACCCAATTTATTGATTAAAATGGGGTCTTGCTAATTTACTGCCTGTGCTGGTCTTGAACCTTCATCCTCCTGATTTCTGCCTCCTTATTAGCTGGGATTACAGGTGTGAGCCAGTGTACTTGGCCTGTCAATGGGAATTTAACACTTCAAATTTTTAATTCTCTTATCTAGTTGATTTGTCTCCAGAAAAATCAGGGGTTTTAGTTTTTGCTACTATAGATGTCAAATCAAAAGACTATCACTTCCTTAGTGTTGAATTTCAGACCTCATTTAGAGAAAGAAAAGATGAATGATATGTTTTAATGCCTATGTATGTAATCACATAAATGCAGTTTTTGATATGAGATTCTATTTTCTTAGAAATAGGATCTAATACCAACTTTTTGACTGAAAAAATGTGCAAGTATAGTATTAGTCCTTGCTTTGTTCTCACTGCATTTAAAATGCAGTGTATTGTTTAGCAAATTACCTTGAAGTAGTGCAGAGTTGACTGAAAACTAGATTTTCTGCCCAGTCACTAGAAATAAAGTTATTATATTTTAATTTAATATTCAGAAATTGACAAGCAAATAAAGTTATTGATAATTGCAAGAGTTCAGCTCTTGTCATAGCTTAGACTTTTTTTTGTGGTACTGGGGTTTGAATCAGGGCCTACACCTTGAGTTACTCCACTAGCCCTTTTTTGTGACGGGTTTTTTTAAGGTAGGATCTCACAAACTATTTGCCTGGGTTGCCTTTGAACCACGATCCTCCTGTTCTCTGCTTCTTGAGAACCTGGGATTACAGGTGTGAGCCTCTAGAGCCCAGGTAGATTTCTTTTTTTTTTTTAGAGTGGGTCTTGCTATATAGCTCAGTTTGGCCTTGAACTTGGAGATCTGGCCTCTTGCGGATTGATTGGATTGCACAGTCACCACCATGCAGCTCCACTTGTTTTTTGAGATAGAGTCTGGCTAACTTTTTTGCCTGGGCTGATCTTGAACCAAACCTCCAGGTTTTGTCTTTCTAAAATGTTTGTTGTCCTTATAGAAAAATTGAGTGGCAGTTTAGTTTCATACTGTTTTTTGTTTTCAGCAGGTTTTATTTACAAGTCTATAGTTGATTGGAAATCTCTTTTTTTTTTTTTTCATTTTTCTTTTATTATTCATATGTGCATACAAGGCTTGGTTCATTTCTCCCCCCTGCCCCCACCCCCTCCCTTACCACCCACTCTACCCCCTCCCGCTCCCCCCCCTCAATACCCAGCAGAAACTATTTTGCCCTTATCTCTAATTTTGTTGTAGAGAGAGTATAAGCAATAATAGGAAGGAACAAGGGGTTTTGCTGGTTGAGATAAGGATAGCTATATAGGGCATTGACTCACATTGATTTCCTGTGCGTGGGTGTTACCTTCTAGGTTAATTCTTTTTTGATCTAACCTTTTCTCTAGTTCCTGGTCCCCTTTTCCTATTGGCCTCAGTTGCTTTAAGGTATCTGCTTTAGTTTCTCTGCATTAAGGGCAACAAATGCTAGCTAGTTTTTTAGGTGTCTTACCTATCCTCACCCCTCCCTTGTGTGCTCTCGCTTTTATCATGTGCTCATAGTCCAATCCCCTTGTTGTGTTTGCCCTTGATCTAATGTCCACATATGAGGGAGAACATACGATTTTTGGTCTTTTGGGCCAGGCTAACCTCACTCAGAATGATGTTCTCCAGTTCATCTGATTTGGAAATCTCTTGTCTCCAGTCTCCATTACTAACATTACTGTTGTTTGAGGCATATTGTGGTTTAACCATATCTGTGTCTTCTGAGCTATACTTTTACTACTTATACATCTTTAATTTTGTTTTATGTTTCTTTCATAGAGTTTTTCTGGGGATTATGTGCATCGGCTGCCTCTTTTAGGAGAAAAACAGGAGGTAATTGTTTTCCTTACATATTTCTGAGAGTAAGGTTAAAACTTTTCTGAATTAATTTTCTTTTCTGCTTCTGTATTATTTGAAGGCTAAAGAGAATCCGAACAAATCATTACCTTTACTGGAGACAGAACTGGTAAGTGTATTTGGGCGTGTGTATTGACGATGGTATATTAGTTTTATGTTCATGAATTTGAACTATTCTTTTCAGTATGCTGGACAGTTAAAAAAAGGAACTGTAGTACTGAAAATTATTACACCAAAATGTTAATGATTGTCTTTTGATTGATATTATTGAGGTGATTGTTTTTTTCTTTTTTGTATTTTCTGTATTTTCTACAATAAAACTGTATTGCTTTCATATTTCTTCTTTAATAATGTTTGTAAGCAGGAAGAAACTTATTCAAAAGGACCTTAGTAAACACCATCTAAAATTATCTGTTCAGAATATAATTAGCAGAGACTTTGGAAAACTAAAATAAGGCCAAAGTCTATCATTAGGCTTTTATATTTTCATAAATACATATTGTATGGGGTCTTTTTTCATTTTCTAATTTATAATAAGTAATTCTTTAAAACTTTTCTAGTTAAAAATACAGAGGAAGTAAGATCCATTTTGGGCTGTGGTTTTTTTTTTTTTTTTACAAAGTCGGTTAAAATTTTTAATTTTATTTAAAAAATTAATTTGTTTGTTTTTGAGAAAAGGTTTTGCTGTGTAGCCTGGGTTGGCCTCAAAGCCATAATCCTGCTGCCTCAGCTTCTCAAGTGCTGGGACTGTAGTGTGGGCCACCATGTCTGGCTTAAGTTTTAAATTTTATAATAACTTTATCAAGACATAGCATACATACTACAGGAGTGATCCTTTTAAAGCATGCAGTTTAGTGGTTTTTAGCATACACGGCGCACTTGGTTGCACACAAGTTGTGCAACCAGCAGCTGCTAATTTCATAACTCTTTATTACCTGAAAAGCGCTCCATACCCATTGTCCGTTATTCTCCCCTCCTCCTTGCCCCGTCTCTGTGGATTTGTCTCTTCTGGACATTTTATACAGTAGGTCATGTGATGCACAATCTTGTGTGTCGCTTCCTTTATAGTTTACAACTCTGTCTTAACCTTTACTTCCTGCTTGTATAGAGCAGTAAGATCTTCCAGAGGTGGATGATTCAGGCCTTCTCAGGTCCCACCTGGGCATATGTATGTAACCCTGCACATGTGTGTGGCCATCAAGATTTCCAGGAATATTGTGGCTTTTCAAAGTCCCTACAGACATCTCACTCTCCAGTTTTTTCCTTTAAGTTTCTGTTCAGCCCCGTGTTAACTTCAACATTTGTGTTACATCAGGCAGCTGTGATCTTTAACGATTGCTGCTGAGTATGGTGTTTCTATGTAAGTGAGGAGGTCAGATAGAGTCAAGCCCTGAGAAGGGGGATTTGCATCAGCTGCCAGTCAGCTTGGGTGACTGATCTTTTAGGGACCTTCAAATCTGTTTGGCTGCCAAGCTGCTGTCTTCACAGCTGTCAAAGTTTCAAAGACTTTGGTTTCAAGGGGCTTGGAAGAGAGTCTCTTTTCTATGCATAGTTCATATTTATTTCAGAAAGTGAGTTTTGTAGTTTGTATTATGGAACCTTTCTAAGCTTAGTAATTTAACTCATGAATCTCCAGCTGGGTAAATAAACTGCATGCATCGGCTGATTTTGAAATGAATAGTCTTATATCAGGGACATTTATATGGTTTATCATATTCAGGTTTCAAACAGTTTGTCTGAATATTGTAGCCTACATTTTTTTAAAATCGTTATTTGCTGGTTTAAAAAAAATTCTGTATTAGAAGTTTTATTATGTAACTTAAAAAAATCCTGCAAAAATTTTGTTTTCTAAACAGGTTAGCATCGGGAGTGATTGCTAAAGCAGATGTAAATTAACCAAAAATGAGATCCCTTTATTATATTACTTCTCAATGTATTCTTTTCACTAATAAATTGTACATTGATACTGCTTCACCTTTTCATGGCTGCAAAGTATTCCAT